TCTCTTTGCTGTGGCCCCGCTCAATCTGAACGCAGACCGCTTGCTGTTGAAAAACCTGGTCTTGTATGAGTCCGAGCTGAAAGCGCTGCTGGTCCTCAGCTTTAGTCTAGCAAGCCTATTTTATTTTTCTCTCCTTTTAGGCGCCTTGCAAATGCAATATCAGAGTTGTATTTCTAGGGCCAATTTCGGCAAGGCGAGTGTGCGTGGGGCTGGCCGCAAACTTGGCCTGACGCTGTCTGATGGGCAGTCATTGTCAGCGCCATCTGCTTGCGACCGCTACTCCGAAGGACAGCTCAACATCCTGAAGACCAAGCGCAGCATGCTGAAGATCGCCTTGACTGGACAAGCTCAAGAGCTCTTTGCAAACGGCAAGCTTTTCGCTAAGCCTGATGGAGGCATCTCTGCGACAAAGCCGGTCAGATCGCGCAACAATGACGTAGCAGCAGAAAAGGGCAATCATGATCGAGAGCGAAGCCTTCAGCAAGTTCCTCTTCAAGGTCAATGTCAGTCTGCAGGCACAGCAGATGACACAGCCGCAGAAGCTACTTGCTGGTGTGAATGCCGCAGACCTTGACCTGGCAGCCTCCTTCGACATGGTGATGGTGACCAAGGTGTTGCTGCCGTCCTGGCCACCGTCATCGATGCAGGACTTCGTTGATCTCTGGACCTATGTCAACAAGAACACGAAGAGCCATTTCAGGATCAATGACGGAGAGCTGGCAGAAGGTCATATGGCGTTAATCTTCTTCCCGGACGAGTTCGTGTCAGCGGCAGTGGGGCACTTTCACAGTCAAGGACACTGTGACACCCATGTCGTGAAGGTCAAAGTGTCCCAGGGCATGTTCTTCAACAGCAAGGTTCGCCTGCACAGCGTGACACAGGCAATGGCATGGATTCCTTACTATGTGGCCACTGAGAAGGAGGAGGTCTTGATTTCCTGGCGTTGTGACAAGATCCTGGATGTAGAGGCCTTGACAATCGGCCTTTCTGTCACGGAATCCGACTACAGCGACCTGCGTGAGAAGTGTGCATGCAACAATGCTGCCAGGACCGCGTG